GCCTCATTCATAGCATTGTCTTTTTTCTCCACTTTACATTTCAACCTTTGAAGTTGTAAGCAATATTGACCATTCTCTCTAGTAAGAGACTTGATGCGGTCATGAAGTTCTCGTGCAATATCATGTACCAACTCTGTCATTATTTTATTATCGGCTCTACTTGTTTTAAGTTCAATATCTTTCTTATGATTATGGTTTTGAAACCAGGCTTCTGCGTCGGTAAGGGCTGTTCTCAACATTTCGTTCTTTGTTTTCCATATCCCTAATTCTTGTAAGGCTATTTTACGTTCATTTTCTACAATCTGCAGATCACGAGAGCACCTCTTAGCTCGTTCTTAATGTATTTTACAATTTCTTTTCCATTGTTCGACACCACTCTTCAATTTAGAGGCTTCTTTTGCCCACTCTTCTGGAGTATTGCCTAACCCAACACTTTGAAAGGTTTGATTGATTCTTTGAAAACTATCTTGCATGGCTTCTAATTCTCTGCTCAGAATGTTCTTTTCATTTTGCAATTGAAGTATTTGAGCTTCATATTTCAATAGACGCTCTTCGTTTTGGATACCCTTATTGATGCTTTTGTCCTTGGACTCACTCGGTTTTGCCTCGACCAAATTTTTAACTATTGAACCCGGTTGACCATCATTCTCAAATTCCAATACTCCATGCTCTAGTAAGCAATTAATTCGACACTTGAAGGCAACACAAGTCTCGATATAATGTCCTTGAGCTCTTGCGTGATAATCACATTTGACATTGGCATCATACCACTCCGGATATAGAGGTTGCAAAGGCTTCACATACTGCGGGGACACCTCCCGGGCTTCTAAAAGCTTATCATACAACTCCTTATATGATATAGGGATAGAATCAAAATGAGAGCCACCTCTTAGCTTGGATGGAACTGGAGTATTCAGGTTTATTTCTCCTGACGCAGTAAGTATACTCTCAAATGTCCATGAGTTTTGATTGCATGGTTTCTTTTCATCCTTCTGGACTTCTACAGTTGTCACCATTTCCTTGGGGTATCCAGATAACTTGTTGATACGAATGGTGACTGTGCATGGCTTCTCATACTGGCTAGAATTAGCAAGTTCTAAAGTAGTCCCTTGTGTATTTGACACCTCACGGTTGCTTTCATCGAGTTCATTCTTTTCTGATGTAGAAGTATCACTTCTTTTGGACAAAACTCCTATCCTATCCATCATCCTGGATATCTGCTCTTTTATCTCTCTTATCTCCTTTCGCTCTTCCTCAACCATGTGATCTTTGGGCGTAAATCTCTCCACTATTCTCGACACTTTCTTAGGATGCCACTTCTCAGTTGTATTATAGCCTGCTTGATCACGAAACCCCTTATCCATCATGAAAGCCTTCTACTATACTGACCACTCACAAATCGACACCTTTTAATTATGTCATGATCATGCAATGCAGACAAAGAAAAAACATATAAAAAACAAGGTAGTATAAATAGGATAACAAAATGACAAAAAGTAATAATAGCAAAATAAATAAGCCAATGCAAAAATAAGAATGCAAATGCACAAGGTGTTAACTCCGAAAGTGACCACTTATAGAACAACCTTCATTTAGACGACAAGAATTCAGTAAGTACACCATGTAGTTAAAATATAATTGTGATTCTTCATCTCTTCATTTCTTTGAGTCGTACTCTTCATGGAATCTATCATTACACTTCCAAAATTGTCGGTGTATTTTATCACCTTTGATGACCTCGGATGTCCTTAAATTGAATCTTGAAATCTCCATTCTTACCTCTAATGAGAATTGGTTTTCATGTCCTTATGAAAGGTATTCTCATCATTGGTATGATTGTATCTATCTTTTGAGTCAACATCTTGGCCTTTGCACCTTTAAAGGAATACTTCGATCAACTTCAAACTTCTACATTCATCTGATGTCCTTCTTCATAGGTCTGTCTTCAATCAATTTCAGATTTCTTCAGTAATCGGATGTCCTTCTTAATGAATCGTTTAAACATATTCAGATCTCCCTGTTTTGACTACATGGATAAGAATTTCTTACCTCAATATGGCCAGCATTCTTATTAGTCAATCACTTGCGAATTAACACCTTTAAATGACATGAAGATGCAAATGCAATAAAATCACCATAAAATAGACACAAAACAAAAATGGGGTAGTACATATAAGATAAAAAACAAGATAATAAGCTTACTAAACATCAAATAAAACCTACCCTCAAATGCTGGCTACCCAATCATGCTTTAGTAGATCCTACCCAACATGCTTTGTTATTCACAACAAACTCTAATCTCATTATATCTAATTCACATGCTTCGTACGGAAAACATAAAACCTAACCACATGATCTCTAGTTCGCATACTTCTTGCAAAAATAAATAAATTCGAGGAAAAGGTTAGAATGAGTTTCCCCTTTGAAAGTGGACAGAGATTCAGTGTATGACGGGCAGAGTTTTGGTATCACTAACAGGGTCCTCGAATTATCCTTTGCTGATTCCCCCTTGGGCTTGCCAGACCCTCAACCCTCACCCATTATAGGCTTAAAACGGATCGAGTTCAATTTGAGAGGATACATTTCCCTATGTCTATGCGAGGAAACTCAATGTTTCGCTCGTAAACATAAGACATGTACCCCAGAGGTTACTTGCTAAAGCCCATGCGGAGAAATAATTTTTCTCACGTAAGCGTAGCTTTCACCTCTACCTAACAGGACAGAGCACAGTTAGAAGGCTCTAAAAATCGAATGGTTATAGCGACAGTGGGGGAAACTCATAATCCTTTGTCTCAATCCAAGAAAAACAACATACTAAAGTGAAGGTCAGAAAACTGAAACATGTAAATCACATGTTAGTACAACTATTTATTAGTTAATCAAACTACAAATTAAAATGCAAACAAAAAATTAAAACAAACCAGGAATCAGAAACCAAATTAAAACGTACTTATAAATTTCATTTGCAAAGACAATTAGTTAATTGACTATTGGCCTGACTCTCTAAAAAAATTCCACACCAGAGTCGCCAAGCTGTCGTAACCATTTTTCGGCGGGGACAATTGCTTAATTATTTTAAAAATGATTACGACTTTTAATTTGGAAAATTCCGGTGATTTGGAATTAAATTGGATAGAATTGAAAAGAGTCGCCATCGACCTTTGGGTTAGGTAGGTCGAATACCTAAAAATGTCTTTTAAAAAACAATTTTAAGAAAAATCATTTTTTAAGACAAAAGTTGATCTGCGTTTACCAAAGATTTGATTAAAACGGATTCGAGAGTCGGTTACGCGTGAGGAAGGATTAGCACCCCCACAGCGCCCTAAATCGGTACCTAGTCGATGAATTAAAGTATTTGGAATGAAATTTACAAATTCAAATTTAATTTGATTTTTGATCCCCAACAAAATAACAACATACGAATTTTACCATAAAAAACCCAGATTGATTAAGTTAAAATTATTCAGCCTTTAGAAAGATAAAGAATATTCGATTATTTAAAAATATTGAGACCAGATCTTAAATAGTTATAACAATCTTTTCTCGATAAATTTAAATAGTCGAACATTTCTTTTTCTTCCATTACCAAATTTTAAAGTGACAAGTCAATTTATTAGGTGTCACTGATGGGATACACTTTTATTTTAAAATTGTTAAAAGCGGACCTCGAATAAGTTAAGACAACCCACTTAAAACGATTTTAAATTAAAAGGGTATTACCCTTAATCCAGTTATGTAATAATTTCGAGTTATGCAAATGAGGTAAATATGTAAAAATTAATTAAAAATGTCATCCATTTGAATAAACATTTAAGTCTAAAATGCACATATAATTACATATTAAAAAAAAATACATAAACCTATTATATAATTACATATTAAAAAAATAGATAAACCTATTATAATTATAATAACAGGCAACCAATACATGCTAAATCAATTAACAACCATAAATATATTTATTAATATTATTTACTTAAAGTTGAAAATAACATTTAATAATATAATATGTACATGCTATAAAAAATGCATACCACACATTAAAATAATATGAAATTCATCACTTAAAAACAAAACTAAACCTACTACCCAAAAAAATCAAAGCTTTAAATCAACTGCCATAAATATACTATTAATATTATTTACTTAAAATTGAAAATAATATTTAATAATATAATATTACATGTTAATCAGCTAAAAAATATATATTCGAATAAATATTTGATTTTAAAGAAACATTTTAAAAATATATGCACCTACTAATATATACATATATGACACATTAATTAATTCTTATAATTTTACTTAATATAATTAAAATTTATTAAAACATATATAAAACTTATTTAATCAAAAACACTAAACTTCATATTAATACATTACACCTATCATCCTAAAAATATATGACTGAAATATATAAGCAAATAAATCTAAGACTAAGTTCATAAATTAAACAAAATTCAAGTCATAGAACGAAAATAATCACATTTCATGTATTAAATTGATATAAACCCATAATTTAAGACCAAAACGTAACATGCAAGAATTTAAGCGTTAAATGTCTAAAACAACAACAATACAATACATTCATAACTAAAATCAAATACACACATAAAAATAAAAAGATAAAATTGTAAACACACAAACTAACAATTAAGGACTAAAATGAATTATAATGAAAACAAGATGACCTATAACCCAAAACATTATAATATAAAACTGGGAAAATAATGAAATCAAAACAAGTACATAAGACTAAATTAAAAAGCAATCCTGAAAGTGCCTAATTTACAAAAGGGTGTTCAAGTTTAGGGACTATAACTTAATTTACCCAAAATATTTTATATGAAACATAAATTTAACAAAACTTAAACTAAACTCACGCACACAACTAAACTACTCCATTTCATCAAAAAGATAAAAAAACATGAATATTATATTAAAATCTAACCTAATAACTAAACCAATTAAAGTGTAGTAGTGTACCCCTGCCTCACTTTTCTCTCCACTTTCCCTACCTCACGCTTTACTCTTCACTTTCCCTCACCCACGTTCAACGCGGCTCTCTTAAACGAATTGGAAAGGAACCCAACCCCGACATGCACGAGCTAAAGCTCCGGTGAACCATTCCCAACGGCGAGAACTATTCTTTCGAAGGTAAACAATCACTCCCTCTTTTTTCTATTTTATTTTGGTTTTATTAAACTAAATCTTACCTTTCTTTCTTAACGATGGAAACCGAACAGAGAACAAATGGAGTCAACAAGACTCTACTTGCGTTCGAATAACCTAGGTAAATCGACTCAAAATAATTTTTAGTTTCGAAATAATACACCTAAAAGAAAAACTTGAAAATAAATAAAAGATTGCATCAAAATACCTCTTAATGTTCTCTTTTTATTATTTTTTTTTCAATTCGATGCTTACAAGCACTAAGGGGAACCCTCCTTTTGGTTATAACGAGAGAAACCCCTCTCGGTCTTCTGTTTTTTTATGACTGAGCTCCGTTGTCGTTGAGAATTCCTCCCCGTTGTTGAAAATTGCCCTTTTCGAATCAACTTCCTCTCTGAACTGTTCGGATGGCTCCCCCCTCTTGTTGGTGATTTTTTTCTGTCTAATTTCTCGTTTTTTCTTTCCTCCCCTCTTTACTTCGAATGAGACTCCATTTATAACTGCTATGCAGTGGATTTTCCACTGATTTTCGGGCTGTGGTAAGGCATGATAGATATTCTGGAATTTTTATTTGTTTTAGTGGATTTACTAGGTCTGATTTTTATATTTTGGGTGCTATTTGGCGTAAGGAATGACGATGGTGATGATAACTGGCTCGGCGGTGCTGAAGCATTCGGTTGGAGCGTACACTGTTGCGGCTGGATGGTTGCGGGCGGCAGCATCTTGTTTCAATTGTTGGAGGTTGTTATTTAGGGTTTTGAAACCCTAATTATATTGGGCTATATTTGGGTCTTGATCCAGTTTGTTGCATTGTAACTTGTAATCTGGACTGAATTGTAACTAGAACTGGGCCTGCAAGCACATGTAATAATTTTATTAATAATAAATATAATAATATTAATATTAATAATATTTTTTAAGTTCGGTCAAAAACGGGTGTCTACACACATATATATATATATATATATATATATATATATATATATATATTATTTTGTATTGGTTATCTATTTTAATCTTCTAAAATTTCATAGATTCGTATCTTTTAAAATTTTATAAGTTCACCCTCGAACATAAAATTTTATGTCATCCTTGATTAAACGAACAATAAACAAATATAAACGAACGTTAAAAAAACACTAAACAAACTCAAAATGAACATGTTCATGAACAGATAAACGAACACATTCGTGAACAATAAATAATCAAACGCGTACACCTTCAAAAATAAATAAATGAACACGAAAATGATATTAAAAATTTAAATGAACATGAACCGATCATGAACACCTTAAAAAATAAATAAACAAACACGAATATAACCTTGTTCGTTCAAACTCGGTTCATTTATAAGTAATATAACTTATATATATATTTAGGATAACTACATATTCGGTCACCCATCTATTACTTAATTTCTGTTTTGGTCACTTAACTATTGTTTTTTTAAATCATACATAATGTTATATTTTAGTTATGTTTTGATAATCCACTATTAAAAAATTTACAGTGATATTGACATGATATTTTTTTATTATAAAAGAATTTAAAATTTTAGGGGGCGACTGCCCCTCTCTAGGTCCATTCCTGGATGTACTAACAGTTAAAAAAATGTAATTTTATAAATATTTAGGTTTCCAATAATACAATTGATGATCTATTTGAATTTGAAATTTCTCTTATATTTTAATTTTTTTTATATTTTTGTATTGATAATATATTTTTGTCTCCTAAAATTTCATAAGTTCATCATCTTTTAAAATTTTATAAATTCATCTCTCAAACATAAAATTTTGTGTCATCCTTGATCACACGTTCAAAGTATATATATATATATATATATAAAGAGCTAATCGTGTAGGTGCAAGAATTGATAATTAGAAAATTCAAAAACATGTAAAAACTCACGTTAAAAGACTGCATTTGAAAGGCACGAGAAAGACCATATGTTTGCAGATGAAAAGATAAAACTAAAAATTGAACATATAAGCAAACGTTAAATAAACACTAAACAAACTTAAAATGAACATGTTTGTGAACATATACACAAAAATGAACATATACACGAAAATGAATACCTTCAAAAATAAATAAATGAATACGAAAATGATATTAATGTCACAACCGTCTTTCGGTTGGGCCCGTAATTGGGTTTTAACTTGAATTGATTGGGTTAGAGTCGCCACCGATCACTTTAAAATATTTAGTTGGATCGTACGCCATCTTATCTGATCTGCGTTTTACCAAAAATGTGTCGGATTCGGGAGTCGGTTACAGTCAAGGAAGGATTAGCACCCTTGAACCTCCCTTTCGGTACCAATTAATTTGTCGGTTGTCTTTAATTGCGAAAATTAAGAATTAAATTAAAATTTAAAACATTCGATTCGAATTACTTACCTTTGATTTATTGGAATTTTTCTAAAAAAATCGAAAATGTTAGAAAAAAAAGAAAGAAAGAGATAAATAAATGTTAAATAAATGTTAAATAAATAAATAAAAAATAAATATATAAAATAAATAAATAATAAGTCAAAAGGAAAAGAAAATAAAATAACAAATAAAAATTAAATAAATTGAAAAAAAGTCAAAAGAAAAAAATAAAATAAAAAATAAATAAATAAATAAAATAAATAAATAAATCAAATAAATCAAAGAACACAAAAAAATAATAATAATAATTAAAAAATGTTTAAAAAAGTTAAATTTTTAAGCAATAAAATAAAGAAAAATATGAAGGAAGAAAAAAAATCATTAAAAATAATAAAATAAAATAAAAACTTAGAGTATCAAATTGAAACAAATTAAACTTAATGGGTTAAATTGGTATTAAAAATTAACTGCAAAAGTAAAAATAAAAAGTTAGGGGGCCAAGCCAGAATGATTAAAATAATTTTTCATGCAAAAAAAATGGTCACAATGGAATAAGTCAGAACCTTGAAGGGCCAAGATAATAATTTGCTCTTGAAAATTCCAAGAGCAATGGATTACATGTGACCTTTTTTCTTCAATAATAGTGAAACCAAATGTAAATTTGGTTCATTCTTCCTCTCTGCAGTCTACACGACATGAAAACCGAGAGCTCTCTCTCTCGGCTTGGCTTTAATTTTCAGAGGTCGGCCATGGAACCACCATGATGCTCGTCGTTGCTTACAGTCCACCATCGCGCGCCGATGTTCAACGTCTTCAATCGTCGTTCCTCGTCGTACTCTGACTACCGTCAACCACCACCGCTGACGACGAATGGGACGAGATAACCACCAATCGACGTGTCTTTCCTTCCTCAGTACAGATCTGGGGTTTTATTTTGAAGAAAACGAGCCGATGTTGACGAATCAAGGCCGAAACGATTTGACTTTCTTGCCTTCGATCTTCCTTCTGGTCACCGGAGTAGCAGTTGGTGGAGGCACGAAGGTAAACTCTTCTTTTTCCTTTTTCTTTCCGATGTTCCTCTGTATGTATTTTGTCTAGTAATCGTGTGTATGATTCGTGTGTTCCCCTGGTAATTTCTGAATTGTCCTCTCCCATTCTGTGTGATTTTTACTTTAATTTATAGCTTGATGAACCCCTATTTATGGGTAGATTTAGAGTCCTATTTGGACTCAAAAATTGATTTGGTTGTTGTGTTGTTACCGATAAATCCGGTGCACGGGTTGTAAGGAGTCCTGTTGAAACACGACTTTGATGGTGCCGTGAAAATCAGCCGATTGTACAGTTCGTGTGGCAGAAAATTAGTGTCTACAGCTGCACCTCTTTGTCCTTTTTCGTGGAATGAAAAATAGGACAAAGATTAAAAGACACGAATTTTCGTTCGGTGGAGTTGAAAATTGACTCTGATAAATCAAGAATAACTCCCTGTCGAATTGAGTTGCGGATGACCCCTCTGTTGCGAAGTCGAGTCCATCTTGAAATGATATGGAATTGAAACCGAAATTCGGGATTTGAATCAGAATATGGCTTCTCATTGCCAAATTGTGATCTACTTCAGTCTTTTCCTTGGTTTAAAGACCTTGGTTTAAAAATTCGATTGGAAAGTAGTTCCTTGACTCCATCATGTTGTTGATAGGCCCTCGAGCTGAATGAAATCGAACTCGAAGGGTCTTCGTTGACAAATATTTTTTCTCGAATTAAGCTATGCTGCTGGAAAACAGTTTCTTGTTACTAAGGCACGGCTAACCCAGGTCTTCTTCTTGACTTTAAAACCTCGATTGCAACCGGACAGTAGTGTGATTGATGTGTCATCGAACTGAATTGAATCGAACTCGACAATTTTGTTGACAGATAGTCCTTCTCGCCTTGAGCTATGTTGTAAATGATGTGCCTTTGAGCTGAGTGTAATCGAACTCACAGGTCTTTTGTTGGCAGATAACCCTTCTAGCCTTGAGTTATGCTGCAAATGATATGCCTTTGAGCTGAGCGTTGTCGAACTCAAAGGTCATTGGTTGGTAAATAACCCTTCTAGCCTTGATTTATGCTGCAAATGATGTGCCTTGGAGCTGAGTGTAGTCGAACTCGAAGGTCTTTTGGTGGCAGATAGCCCTTCTATCCTTGAGTTATGCTGCAAATGATGTACCTTGGAGCTGAGCATAGTCGAACTCGAAGGTCTTTGGTTGGCAGATAACCCTTCTAGCCTTGAGTTATACTGCAAATGATATTCCTTTGAGCTGAGCGTAGTCGAACTCGAAGGTCTTTTGTTGGAAAATAACGCTTCTTGCCTTGATCTATGTTGCAAATAATGTGCCTTTGAGCTAAGCGTAGTCTAACTCGAAGGTATTTTGGTGGAAGATAGCCCTTTTAGCCTTGAGCTATATTGTAAATGATATACCTTTGAGCTGAGAGTAGTCGAACTCGAAGGTCTTTTGTTAGAAGATAACTCTTCTAGCCTTGAGTGATGCTGCAAATGATGTGCCTGGGAGCTGAGCGTAGTCAAACTCAAACGCCTTTTGGTGGCAGATAGCCCTTCTAGCCTTGAGTTATGCTGCAAATGATGTGCCTTGGACCTGAGCGTAGTCGAACTCGAAGGTCTTTTGTTGGCAGATAACCCTTCTAGCCTTGAGTTATGCTGCAAATGATGTGCCTGAGAGCTGAGCGTAGTCAAATTCGAATGTCGTTTGGTGGCAGATAGCCCTTTTAGCCTTGAGTTATGCTGTAAATGATGTGCCTTGGAGCTGACCGTAGTCGAACTCGAAGGTCTTTCCTTGGCAAATAGCCCTTGCCTTGAGCTATGGTGCAAATGATGTTCCTTTGAGTTGAGCGTAGTCGAACTCGAAGGTCTTTTGTTGGTAGATAACCCTTCTAGCCTTGAGTTATGCTGCCAATAGTTTCTTTAAAAAAAATGGCTTCCCTTCACGGGTCTAAGCCAGTCATAATTCTTCAGGTGGTTCCTCTGAGCGGGTCTGAACCAAGTGATATGATTTTTGGATGACTCCCCTTCACGGAAAAGCCTACTGATAAATTCTGTCAGCCAAATATCTTCTGTCGTGGAATAGAAATCTGGCTTGAAAATGTTAACTGGAAACCTGCTACTCGTTATTGAGTTAAGCTGGATTCGTTCTGAATTAGCTCTCAAACCCATCTGAAATTGATTTTGAGATCTGTCGATCTTTCAATACGTCAAAATTGGTTGAGGTGTAGCTTCTCGATGCTGAGTCAAGCAACCACCATCGATCTTTAGAGGAGCTTTCGAATCGAGTATCTTTCGTCTTGAAGTCGAAACTTGACTCTGAAAAAATTATGTATGTGAAAAATGATAAATGTAATGCTCTTAAGTATGTCTAAGATGCATGCAATATGAATTAGTCTTGGACGGAGTCTCGTGCTTTGTCTGCCGGTCTGATCCTTGGAATCGATCA